AATGGACGTCATGCAGTCCCGGGCCATGTCAGCGAGGGGCCGAGGGCCAAATCTGCCCCAGACCTGGTTGTAGCGCACCGGAGTCTGGGAGGCACCTGGTGTGGGAGTGCAGCTGCTGCGGCCAGCAGAGGCGGCCTGGCTCTCCGGGTGAGGCCGGCGGGAAGCAGCACCAGGGCGGGGATCCCTCTGAGCACCAGCGCTGCTTGGAAGAACCGGACGGTTCTGAACTTCGTAAGGACTTAAATATACAGAACCTTTAAAATATCTTCTTTTGGTTTAATTTACTGAAAATGTGTTTAATTAGTACAAAACGTGACAGTGAAACAGAAAATAATCGCTATGTTCTTGCAATGTGTCTGTGTATAAATAAAACAGTTTAAAAGAAAAAAAAACATTTTCCATATTTTTGGTCAAAGTTTGATCAGAGAAACAAATAAAAAGCAGGAGGCAGGAACAGTTTTAATCAAGTAGTTTCTAATAAAATAAAAAAACTAGACTTTGGCTGCAGAGTGCTTTAAAATCGATAAAGCTCATATGGGTTAATTCTAAATAACTACATAATTTTTGAAGTTCGCCCCTAAAAAGCTGCAGTTCCGCCTCCCCTCCCATCTTGGCCGGTGTTTGCCATCTGCCCCTTTTGGGACATCTTGATTTATCTTCATCCTGAGAGAGGAAGAGGAGGAGAGGCAGCAGAACATCAGATCCAACATCACTCACAATACAAGGAACAACTACAGTCTGACTTTTAGATTCATCAGACAGAAACTCCTGAACTTTGTAGCTAATTTCTATGGTAATAATTAAAATCTGTTATAACATGCAGAAGATAAGAAAAATGCAACACTGCCTCCTAGCGGCCATAAATAAATACTGAAGCAGATCTCATATAATCTGAACAAAGTACATGAGCTGAGAACATAATTCATGTTTAATTATTTGAATGCATCAGACAAAAGATTGGACAATAAAAAATCTGAATATTAAAGAGCATTAATATTTAAGTTTTTGAATATTATTTAATAAAACCAAGTATATAAGTTGCATATATAATGTTATGTTTAATATGAGGTTTTCTAAGTAACACTGAAGTCTGAATATCTGCCAGAATCAGAGGAAAAGTAGTTCAGATTATTTAATTAGGTAGAACAAAAGTTCTATGATTAGTAATTTTATGCAGCATAAATTACTTTTAAATAATATTTTTGACATGTAATTTTGTGAAAAGTTGGATCATTTGCAGATAAAAACCAATATTGATCATTTAGTTTCGCTAAAACTCTTAAAGATCATTGTTATTATTCCTGTCTGTTCAGCCACATATCTGAACATTCATCATAGAAGTAAATATATTTTTATCAAATAAAACCTGAATGAAATGGATCAGAGTCATTCTTGTTTATTAAACAGATTTATCCAGCCTCAATAAAGTCACATAAACATTTTTCTGTTTTTCTGCAGAGGATCTGCTGAGTTTTTGCTGCTCAACAAAAAGGAAGCAGCGATTGAGACAGGAAACTCAATTTACTGAGATATGGACCTGATGATGATGATGCCTTTAAGGACGCTTCGGTCAGACTGATTTAATGAGAAACACAGACTGAACTTCTCACTTCTGACTTCTTATTTTCTCCAGTTTTAACTTCAGCTTCATCCCAAGTGTAAACAGAATCAAAGTGGCTCTAAGAAAAGATGAAACTGAACTGGATGAATCTATTTTACAGTTTTGATCAGCTGCTGAGAAAATGTGAAAACTTAGAACTCTAGAGGAAAACAAATTTATAAGTGAAAATATTTATTTCCATAATTTAACAAAAAAATAGCAGAAAACCAAAGCATGTCAGAAAACATTTACTTTCTGCTTTTGTTTACAATGTGTTGACATTTATTTACAACATTTACACTTCATTACACAGTAAAGAGTTTACAAAACGGGCTCCACAGGGGTGCAGTTGGTAGAGCTGTTGCCTTGCAGCAAGAAGGTTCTGGGTTCGATTCCCAGCCCTGGTCTTTCTGCATGTAGTTTGCATGTTCTCCCTTTGCATGGTGGGTTTTCGCCTGGTTCTCCAGTTTCCTCCCATAGTCCAAAAACATGTCAGGTTAATTGGTCTCTCNTGGCGACTGTTGGTCAAACCAAACATCCTATAATATTTCAATCCAGGCGCCATTACTGCACTGACATGACTGATGTCCCTACGAAGGCAAAAGACGTCCGGTTTCCAAAACTTAAAGATTGATTTTTAGAGTTTTTCCCCCATTTACTGGAAAAGCAAATGTTTCCTGCTTCTTCTCCTGCTCTGGTGAAAAATAAAAAACCGGTCCAACCCAGTATGCTGCTCCTAAACCAGTCCATATAGTTATTGTAAACGAACCCACAATTCTTCCTGTCTAACTTAAAAATGACAAAAACAAAGAAATGAAAAGTAAATAAATCAAATAACTAATTAATATAGAAATAACTCATCTAAAAAAAAGTAAACTAAGAATAAATTACTGTAATTTGTAGAATTCACTCACTGATTTCTTCTCCACATAAATTGTAACAGACTGATTTTATTCTGAAGCTGTTTATAATGACACATTTTGAGCTGCAGACACTAACGTCCTCTTCTCTGACTTCGTCATTATCACCACAAGGTGGCAGTAGTGATCGATTAAAACATTTGTTTTGCAATATCTTTTTCGCCATATATTTTTTGCTAAATTTACTTGCATTCATTAATTTATATGATGGTTCATTGATTTGAGGAGTTCAGTTCACGAAACAATCTTTGATTTAAAAACAAACAAATGAGTTTCTCTGAGAAAAATGATATAAAGATCTGAGAGAAAAAATCACATAACGTTGTTAAAGCAGTAATGAAGAAATAATATTTTGTGTAAACAAATGTTTCAGATTAGTTTTAAAAGTCCTCTAACTTCTAATGTAGTTATTAAAACTTCCTTCTGAAATGTGTTACCCGTTTTCATTTTGCTTTTTATTCTCTTTAGTGTTTATGAAATGTACATAAATGTGTAAGTTTATAGTGTTAAACAAATGTCAAAAATTGTACATAAGACATTAATTGAAATATCAGAGTTTTTATAAATTAGGTTTTATTTCAATAATCAAATTAAACATTTTCACGTATTAAAGTTTCACATTTTCTCTGCAGAAATGATCAAAACTATTTTCTAAGTCACAGTTTCATCTTTTCCCAGAGTTTAGTTGTTCTAAAGTTTTGTTTGATCAAAGGAACAAATTAATTTTTAGTGATTTAAATCTGGATTTTAAAAAAAGAAGAGCTGCCGTTTCACAGCTGAAATGTGTCGTTTTGTCCACATGGTGGCGCTCTAAGCTCTGACCAAAAGGTGCTCAGCAGTGAAAGTTAGTTTTTCTCTTCCTTTCTCAGGTTTCTGTCTTTATTCAGTTATTCACTCTGTTAAATTGCCCCAGGGCAGCTGTGGATACTATCCAGTATTTGTCACCG